TATCCAGTTCTGTGTCCCTAAGTGCTCTTCTCAAACCCAAGTTCCATGCAAACCCGGAATTTGAATTTGAGGAAACAAGGAAATTGGTAATTGGTTCATTTTTTAGGGTGGAAATTGCAAATAAAGCCGGAAATTGGTCTTTCAAAGGGGTCTCCCCAACCCAAACATGTTCCCAGAACTTTATGAGATTACCCAAGTGCAAATCATACCTGATCCAAGGAGAGAAAAGAGGCAAAACATCTCGGATGGATTTCCATGGTGATGCTCTTGTAGCCATAGCCAGAATCCTAGAGTCCCAACCATTCTCTGCAAGCCCGTGAATACTACAAATTATCTAAGTAGACAGTTTCTCCCTCTCCAATGAAAACCTCCACAGCCATTTCCCTAGCAAAGCCAAATTCCTCTTCCTTATATTCCCAATGTCTAGCCCTCCATCATGCTTACTCCTGCACACCATCTCCCATCTAACCCTATGATTCGTTTTTTCATCCCCTGGCTCCCACAGGAAGTCCCTCATTAATTTTTCCAACTTACTAGCCACCCCTACAAGCACCTTAAAGACTGAAATGTAATAAATGAGCAGATAAACTAGGGTAGACCTGATTAAGGTGATTCTTCCTCCAAGAGATAGGTAGTTTTTCTTCTAAGAAGCAAGTCTCTTTTCAAACCTCTCCACTATTGGAATCCAAAAGCTTCCTTTTTGAGAATTATCTCCTAGAGGAAGATCAAGATAAATCAAAGGCCAACTCAATACTCCACAACCCAAAATATTTGCACACTCAAGGATCTCACTTTCACCCTATTCACACCTACAACACAACTTTTATCAAAATTTACATTCAAGTTCGGCATTTGCTCAAATAGTTGTACTGTAAGTTTCACATTCCTAATCCAATTCATGCCCCCCTCTCACAAAATAAAATCGTATCATCTACAAACTGCGAGTGTGTGAGTGGTATACTCTCCCTGCCAACTCTCCATCCCTTGATTAGCCCTCTAGAATCTACCTCAGAGATTAGGGGAAGAAATCTCTAGCTGTTTACTTCTCTAAAGTCATTGTGGTAAGAGATAGATCATCATTATCTAGAAGGCTGTTCAATGGGAAAGTATCAAAGATGTTGCTACTACCAGAAATTGATAGAGAGAAATAGTGTTTGAGCTCCTAGCTAGATACCACTCAAAATATGGTATAATGAGACAAAGTAGGTTTACTCTCTCACAAGCTTATTCCTTGGGTCATGGAGAAGAAAGCACGAGACATACAATGATTAAGTTTCCTAGAATTGATGCTTCAGCCATTGTGAATACCAAAGCTCAAATGGTAGGAGACGAGGAGTARTAATGATAGTAAGAAGAATCATCACCATCATATGAGGTCAGCTACATGAATCTGTTTCACCAATCCATTCTATTTAAAGCCATATCCACTATTAAACTACTAGTGCTTAAATTTGGTGTGCCTAATAGCAAGGACACTTGTTGATAACTTCATCCTATTTGAATACCATCCTGTCTTAGAAATAAGAAGGGGATGCTAATGTTTCTATTATTGAAGATTTTATTGTCTCTACCTTTAACCCCTGATTTACCATTCCTCAAGAAACTTGCAACCAGGGGTGAATTGGAGCTGAGCTTGAGCTTGAGCTTGAGCTTGAGCTCGGCTCGAGTAAAAAATTCATAAGCTCAACCTCGGCTCGGCTCGAGCTTGATTTTGAGAAAAAATATTTTATAAATATAAAAAATTATATATATATATTTTTTTATTTGATATTTAAAGATTAAGAATTATAATAATTAATAATTATAATATTTTTATTATATATATCATTTTCTATAATTTTATTATATATATTATTATATTTTATATATATATATATTAAATATCAAATATATATTCAAGCAGACTTGCGAGTCGAGCTCTAGTAGGCTCGAGCTTAGCTCGTTTAATAATCGAGCTAGTGAATTGGGCTCGAGCTCAGTTGAGCCGAGCCGATCTTTTCACGAGTCGATCTCGAGCAACTCGTGAAAAGCTCAGCTCGTTGCAACCCCTACTTGCAATCAAGGTTTAAAGCATCGATGCAATACTCCCAATAAAGTGTATCGTATAGAGTGTACCGTATCCATATCCATGAACATGGGATACGTCACAATTGGGTATATATCCCACGAGTCGTGCATATCGGCACGATACACCTCCATATCGAGCCGCATCACACCGTATTGATGGATACAATCTGATATGCATGGAACTATGTATTGACCACTTTTGGATTGTTCAAAACTTTAATAAAAATTGAAAATTATAATTATAAAAAATGAAATAGAATTATAATTATAAAACTGAAATAAATAATTTAAGATTTAATTTTCCCAAAAATTTAGTAAGAACTAAACGTTATAAAAATAATTTATTTTATCTATCTTAAATGATTTATATGTTTTATTTTACAAATAAATTATATGTTAAAAATGGAAGCATATTTAGTATTTGAAAAAATAGTTATTGTTTATGTAAAAATACTAAATAAATAATTTTTTCCAAAAATTTAATAAAATTTGAAAATTATAAGTCATAATTATTGTATGATGTGTACATGTTTTAGAGTTCCGATATTGTTGATTGCAATGTTCCTCTTCACATAACCTATTAAACTGTGCATTTCTCATGTGTTTATACCTTATTCACAAACAATTCAGCTTTAGATTTAGTGCCACTAATGTATTGATGTGATTTGTATGCATTTCCTAGCATATTCAAGTGTTTCAATATCTTTCGTCCATAGGAATGGCAACGGGGCAGGGTCTTGCATGCCCTATCACTTGATCCCAAATTAAAATACCCCACCCCATCTTTACCTCGAACCCCACCAGGGCTAGAAATCCTAATCCCATCCCCAACCCCATGGGGAATGGGGAAACGGGGGTCCTCAAATTTCAACTTGCTTCGCCCCAATCATTCCTACTTGCAAGTTTTTTTTTTTTTTT